ACTTTGTTTCCATCACCTTTTTCTTCAAGTGGCTTTTCAATTTTTCCTTTTGCTTCATTATGAATTTGCTGACCAGGTTTTCATCCAACACGTCTTATTCCTTTTTAAGCTCCATAGGTGGCTGCATTTCCTTTCTTGCCAATATTCTGAGACCTGAGAAAGGTGTGGGTTCTTATGTTCTTTTTGGAACTTTTTACACAGGTGTTTGTTTCTGCAGCACTGGAGTTGATCTGAGCAACAGGGAGCTGAGTTCCGCAGTTGGGCACTCCTGAACCCTGGGGCTCCCAACACCACCCCCACAGGCTTTTTTTTTTTTTTTTTTTTTTTTTTTGTGCTGCATGAGGTAGAAGAATGATTTTGGGCAATGCAGTTTGGATCCTGAAATACTGGGATTTCTGACACATGGCACTAATTAAAATGAATATTTTCAATGTCATGAGCAAGTACCACTGGGTCGAGGAAATTCTCTTTTCTCGTTGATTCCTGATGAGAGAGGAGGAAGAGGTCTTTCTCCTTCCCACTGGTATTTGAGTTAGCCCCTCTACTACTCAACGATCAAAGACATGGTGTCTTGAATACACTCAGCGATAACCCAGATGGACAACTCACATCAAAAGACAGACTGCCTGATGCCATAGGCAGGCGCCAGGGCAGGCGAGTGAGACAGTACCAGGCCAGCTGCACAAGAATAATCTAGTGATGAGCGTGAATGACGCATGTAGGAAGTTGCTGAACTAGCATTAAGGGTCCATGAAATGCAGGTATAGAAGTGAGTGACACAGTGACCTCTTTTTTTTTTTTAAGATTTATTTATTTATGCATACAGAACTGAGGTACAGGCCAGAGATGTGGAGGGTGAGAGGATTCACCAGAGACAGAGTGGGGAGCAGAACAGGCAGATCGACAAAGTACACTGCTGAGGGTAGCAGCGGGCGGGTCAGGAGAGGTCTGTGGTGCCATGTGGTCACCTCCGGGGCAGGCGGGGATCGAACTCATGCTGAAGTGGCTTTAGCTTCTTAGTGCTGTGCTTTAACCCGCTGCACCACAAGGGAGGGCCCCACAGTGACCTCTTAACCCAATAGAGTGTTTCTGTAATTGAAGACACCAGATGGCATCTGATTCACTAAAGCATTTTTTTAAATCCTATTTTTTTGGTCTTTTTAAATCTTAAAGACAATAAAGGTTGACTTCTGAATCAATATGGGCATGAAACTTTTTTATTTCTTGCATTTATAGCCTACTTACAATTTCTTAGGTATTTTTATATTCCTTTGTATTATTTTATGTAACATCTAAGGCATGAATGCTTCCACTGTAGAAAGGCT